GGAGCCCGATGCGGGGCTCGATCCCAGGACCCCGGGATCATGACCTGAGCCGAAGGCAGACGCTTAACGACTGAGCCACCCAGGCGCCCCTAGACTTCTTTAAATCCAGACTGATAATCTTTACTTTTAACTGGAGCATTTGGTTCATTTACATTTTATGCAATTATTGATATATTTAAGTTTAAATCTACCATCTTCCTCTATTCTCTTTGTCCCACTTTTCCAAAAAGTTTTTCCTCCTTTCTTGCCTTTTTTGGATTGGTGGTTGATTTTTTCCTCTTTCTCTCTTTTAATTTTCCCCCTTTTGGTAGTTTGGAAGAGATATAATATGCTTTTATGTTAGTGGTTATCCTAGAAATTTTAATATGTATATTCAACATAATTAAGTCTTTAGTTAATAGAAATCCATTACCAATACTCCGCATTCTAGGGCACAATTCCACAAAGAGTACAGTTTTTGCATTCATTCTTCGATTATTTTATTTATTTTGTCTTGTTTTGCTTGACCTTACAGTGACCTAAAATTAAACTATCACTCCGTGCATCAGACTGTCAACATTGAAACTACCCAATCCCTAGCCTTCACCACAGACCTCTGTCCCTGCCTAGTCCATTGGTACTCTGGAGCCAGTGAGATCACCAGGGAACAGTACTCTTAGCTGCTGAGATAATACCAGACTCTGATAGCAAAGAACAGGCAAGCCAACAGCAAAGATGCAAAAGATGTGATAGCTTTGCAATCTTATAGAGCAAAAAGCCAATTCGCTCTGAGGAATTCCTAAAGGAGTCATCATAACATGTAAAAATAGTTCTGCAGGCTCTGGAAGAAGGGAAAATCAAAGCTTCGAAGGGCATCACTGCAGTCAGGTCATACCACATTTGTAGCATACTGAGTAGTATGCATACTGCTCACAGTTCAGTGTTTGGAAGGAGAAATCACTCTGATACAAAGTGGCAAGGTAAACCACAATACAGCAGAATATTGTCAGTGGCTCTCAACAGGGGGTTATTTTGCACTGTAGGAGACATTTTGCAATGTCTGGAGAAACTGTTGTAACAACTGGTGTGTGTGTGGGGGGTTCTACAATACACAGGATCCTCCCTGTCCTCTGCAAAGAATTATCTGGACTCAAATGTGGATAGTGCCCACTGCTATGGGTTATACAGTGAAGTATAGATAAGCAGCAGGATAGTGTTTCTTGTATCACAGAAGCCATCCTGTAATAATGATTTCACATTTCTTTAAGGGAGGATGATGGTACAGCAAGGATTCACTATACCTTTTTGTTGACACTTGAAAAATCCATAATAATGAAAAATGAAAAGATCAGCAGGCACTCATTTCTCTGAGCCTCCTTGAAATGACAAAGGGTTTTTATGAGCAGATGTCACTAAAACTAAACGGTGTGTATTTTCTAATTAGTGGCTTTAGGATTTCAAAATCAGACAGGACATTAAGAGACTAGATATAGCTGATGAAAAACAATCATGAACAATGTGGTATTTCCCCAGGGCTTATTATGAATACAGCCTATCCCTCCAACAGCTTTTCAATGCAAATGAACCTGGTGCATTTGGTGAAAATTGCCAAATTTAGAAGATACTAGTTCTAAAGTTCATACCTTAATATATGTGTGGTAGGATTTCTTTCTTTGGTTTACCTCTATTTTCTAAAATTTCTGCCAAACACTTATTTTTAAAACTTTTTTTGTTTTGAAAAGTTGCACAAATAGAACAGAGAATCCTTGCATGTCCTTCACTTAGACTCCTAAAATGTTAATATTTTACATTTGCTTAATCATCCAAGGGTTTTCTTCTGAGATATTTTAAAGTTGCAACATAATGCCCCATTATCTCTGAATACTCCAGCGAGTATTAAACAAAGACTTTCACATTAATCATACTACAAGTATAAAAATCAAGAAATTTACATTGATACAGTATTATTAATCTATAGATATTCAGATTTTGTCAGTTGTCCCAGTAATACCCCTTTTAGCAAAAGAAAAATGTTCTTTTTCTGGCTGGGGATCAGTTGTCATGTCTGTTTCTATTAATCTGGAGAATTAGTGACTTTGATGATTTTGAAGAGTGCAAGCCAGTAATTTTGTAGACTGTCCCTCTATGGGTTTGTTTGATGTTCCCTTATGATTAAATTCAGGTTATGCGAATTTTGGCGTCATGAATGCTACAAAATTGGTTAGTGTTTTTCTTAGCACCTTATCAGGAGGCACAGAATGCCCATTTCTGGGCGTGCTGATTTTCATCACAATTAGGACGGTATCTGCCATGTTTTCCCACTGTAGTTTTTATTTCGCCTTTGAAATCGTAGTATCTTGGTCGGGAGATACTTTGAGACTCTGTAATGTAAACAAGTTGTTTCTTATGGTAATTGCGCCCCCTAGTTTTGTCTAAGGTTACAGAGGCAGAGGCTGATTACAGTAGGGTGTCAGCACTGGTGGCGGCAAGTGTTTCCAAGGGTCAATTTCTGCTTGTATCCCTTGTATTAGCATGTCTAGCACATAGTAAATGGCTGCTTCTTTCCTGATTAATTTCTTTTATCTCAGCAGTTAGTAGGGTGTATTGTAATTGATCTGCTTATGTTTGTCTTTCCCACAGACTGTGAGCTCGTTGAGGGTAGGCACAATGGCTTATTGCTTCTCTGTCCCCTGTCTAGCACATACTAGGGGCTTGAAAAATACATGTTTGAATTAGTGGCCTGGAGTAGATACTACGGAAGAAGATAAGAGCTATGAATCGGCCTGGGGATGGCATTTTTCCTGTTCTAAAGGGAAGCTAGGGCAAGGGTTGTAGAGGGCGCGGTCGGCGCAGTCACTCTGCAAAGGAACCCATGGGTCTCAGCCACCTAGTTAAAGGCAAGGCCTCGGGTTTCCGCGGGTGGGGAGGAAAGTGGGGCGGGAAATCGAAAACCGAACTCGCAGCTCCCGGCATTCCCCGTGGGCGGTGCTCCCCTTTGACCCCTCGCTCGCGTGCTACACATCCGGGCCTCTGCTACTAGTGAGGGGAAGATGGCGGCCGCAACTGTGGTGGTTCCCGTAGAGTGGATAAAGAACTGGGAGAAATCAGGGAGAGGCGAATTGTGAGTGTCCGGGCTGGAGGCGGGCGCATGACCGGGCAGGGCCCGGGCGTCAGCCGTGCTCTCCCATGTGGGGAGAGGTTGTGGGGGGAAGATGTGCCCCCTCCCCCATCCGGGCGGCGGGTGTGGATGGTTGGCTAGGAGTTTCGAACTCGGGGAGGAGAGGTGCTGGTAACCGTCGCCGACCTCCTTCCTTCTCTGGCTTCTCTGAAATCTCCGTTGCCCGCCGTAGGCTGTGTTCCTTTAGTCTCTTAGCAGAACTCCCGTTTCGCCCCTGCGGGTCCCCGCGCTCCCGCTCCGTCTCTTTTTGTCCCCCTCTTCGCTTGAGCTCACTTGGCTCCTTTCTTTTTACGGGGCCGCGCCGGGGGGTTTCGGACTTCCCATCTCTCTGTCCCATTTCTTCTCTGCGCCCGTTCGACTCTGCAGTTTGGAGCCCGACGCCTCCTTTGCCTGAAGTCCGAGGAGGGCGAACCGTCCCGACTCCCTCCTCTCCTCTCCGCCCGCCGCCGCCGCCGCGGTGCCCGGGGCGTCGCGAAGAGCCCCGCTTGGTACCTCTCTTCCTCCCGGGGAGCGGTCCTTTCGGATTGTCCCGGCCTCGCGCGGCGCCACTGGCCGTGGGAGAAGTGTAGCTGGGATTGCCGCTTTCCCCGAAGACCTACCGGCATTTCTTTGCTCCGTTTTTTCACTTTAGAGCCATTTCGGGTTTGATTCAACTTTCGTCATTAAATGTTTCCTAAACCCCATTTTGTCCTGGGACTGCAACTAATTTTGGCAACTCTCCAAGGTTCTCGAGTACCTGGAATAACGCGTTTCCTTTAGTCATAAAACTTGTTTTTTACCCCCCGGTAATACAGAAAACAGTAATTTGCCATACCCGCAGTTTCCTGGCCCAAAATTTCAGTTCGCGCTCTCTCGGAAAGAAAGAAAGCGTTTAAGGAGTAAAACCCCAGATTCAAAAACAAATAACTTATTTCTAATTTTTCTCTGAATCGCTTTATTAGCTAAAGCTCAACATTGTATGAGATTAACTCTCCTTAGCCATTTTTGCTGTTGTCTCCCCTCCTCCCCCCCGGTCAGTTTAGGTTGCTGGTGCAAAAGATAACGAATCTTTGGAACTTCGTTACTTCGAACGAAACCAGGGGAATGCGTTGCCCGATCTTCCGCGTGTAATATTGCCAGCCTTTATGGCCTTCCTCCCCCCCCCCCGCCGCGCGCACTCGCACTCGCACTGCTTTACGAAGTCTTAACTGTGTGAGCTCTAGAATTGTAATTTCCTGGGTAAGCGGCGGTCTTAGCCACTTAACTAGCTGAGTGACCTTGGGTAAGTTCCTTAACCACTTTGACCGTTTCCCCTTGAGTAAATTGGGATTAATAAGTACTCTACTCAAAGGATTGTTGTGAAGACTAAATAATGCCTGTAAAGCACTTGGCTTATAGTAAGTGCTCAAGTGATAGCTATTGAAAGTAATATTATTATTCCAATCTTTAGATATTTAAACTTCTCTGGACAGCTCTTGCTCTTAAAGTCCGTACCACCCAGGTTAGCAATTAATTGGTCTTTGACTCTTTCTCCTGCGTACTCTTGTACTCTAACGAATTGAGAGACCCTTGAAGAGTGGGGACTATGTTTCATATTTATTTTGGTTCAACCCTCCCGCCCCTTCTCCCCCTAGCTTTTCTAGCATATGCTTAGAGTGAGTGCTTATTGGTTTATTAAATGAGAAGTCTATTCGATAAACATTCATTTTTAACTGTTAGGAACATTTTCCAGATCCTTGTACATGCTATTTAACAAATAGCTATTAAGTTCCTTGTGTGCAGGGAAGGCAGGATGGGAGGTTACCTAACCAAACCATCATTTTCATCTATATTAGATTAGGATAACTTCCCCAAACTGATAAATCAGTTCATTGTTTTGTTTACCTACTTAGTTATTTAGGGCCTGTCATCTTCAGTAGATTGCTCAGCTTCCTCCTTCCAGCTGTTTTTGACAGTTTTATTATTATTACTTTCACCTTAGAATGAGTGGTATTAGGGCTAGGAGGTGAAATTCTGCTTGACTTCTTACCAGCAGTGGTTGGAGAAAAATAGTGATGTAGGAGGTTGTAGTACCTCGTCAAAATGAGATTTTGGATTCACTTTATGTATATTTGCATGATCCATGCTACCCGTATTGTTCCTGAAGAGCTTTTTCAAAACTGTTGTTAGGGCTTATTTGTATGTAGTTATTCCATGGCTTGAGGAATGTAGTTTGAATTACCGTAGATCCAAATCAGTGTAGTCAGTTTTATAATTATATTCTGTTATATGAAGAGAGCATAAGGTGTTAATTGTATGACATAACGAAATGTTTTAAATAGGCAAACACATCACCATCCAGTACTTAGGTTTCATTTATTTGACCTCTTTCCCCTCTTTCAAAACTTTGTTGCATATAGTCTAACTTCAGAGTTCTTGTATCTAGCATTTTCATTTTATTAGAATGAATGGTCTTGTAAATATATTACCAAAAATCCTTTCCTTTCTCTGAAAACAGAGCCTCTTAATTATAAGCCAGCAACTAGAAATGTTAAAAACGAAGGTAATGTGCCAACAAATTATTAGTGAATCCATTTATAGATTTGGCTTTTAGAATATGACCAATATTTAAAATAATATCTTGTGTGGGTTTTTAGTTTTTAACGAGATAAATTAGCAGATGAGATTTAACTTGACTGAAAATTATCTTTTAAAGAAAAATGCATGAAGTATTTCATGAGGTTTTTAGTTCATTTCTTGTCGGTCACTTCTTACCAGTATATTTTGGGAGTTGTAGTCAACTTCAGCCACATAGTGTTAAAGCAACACATGAGATGTATGGGGCATTTAGTAAATTTCAGAGAGGGCAGTTTCTTAATTAAGATTTTCAATAAGTTGAAAAGCAACTGTATTAAGATGGAAAGTCTTGGCTTTGAAGAATAAGCTTTGTTAGGTAATTATGGGGAAAAGAAAAAACTTTATTTTCCTTGTCTAAGTGGTCAGTCACATACCTAGCTAACCTGTTGTTTCCAGAGATACTGATTATGTTTTTAATGATAAATTATAGAACTCTTAAAGTGATCTTTACCCACAGATACCAAAAGGACAAAGGAGGACTACCAAAACATAATTATTAAGGGTCTTTTCTAGTAACATTTAGATCTATTCTTAAAAGTTTCACATCTAAATGCAAACTTATGAATTCTGCCACATATGAAAGATAAGGATTTAATCACTTCAATTTTGGAATTAGAGTTTTAGTTTCTTGACAACTTCATATAAGCATAGGACTTGCCATGATTATGCTAATAAACTTGCATGTACTGGTAGATCCAGTGGTGAATTTTGTTTTTAGTAGAAATCATTAACACAGTGAACTCAACATTTCTTTGTGTCACAAGCAACCTTAATGGAGGGTTTATGTTCCAAGGTCTTAATCTGTCCTCATGTCCATACTTGGTCTAAATTTTGCCTCATGTCCATACTTGGTCTAATTTTGAAATACCTATATTTGTTGAATATTATCTATTTGTTCCAAGAACTTTATTATATAAAAAATTTACATATCAATTAGAAATTTTTGTTAGATCTCACCTTATTAATTATTGGTCGTTATAATAAGCTTTTAAAATTTAATTGCCAGATGTTTTGATTGCCATTCTTTTTCTTTTGCTGCTGCTAAATGATTTTACATCTTCCAGAACTTAGCTGAGTGCATTTGGACGTTCATTAAATGTCTGACCTGAATTTTTTGGAGGGAGGTAGGAGGAAGGAGTTTATGGCAAATCATCATTCAAAGAGATTTGTCTTGGGGCGCCTGGTGGCTCAGTTGGTTAAGCGACTGCCTTCGGCTCAGGTCATGATCCTGGAGTCCCGGGATCGAGTCCTGCATCGGGCTCCCTGCTCGGCAGGGAG